GCCCAACCTTGCTGGAGCAGTGCACCACAGGCAGGGGCATTCCAGCCCAGCTTGAGCAGCCCCTCTTTGTGGCATGGGAGCTGCTGCAGCCTAGCCAAAGCAGAGGGAGGGTGGTGCTCCAGCTCAGCTGAGCTGGAGTGGCCACCACCCGCTCCCCCTTTAATCAGTTAACTGGATAAACATTGTTTAACCAATTAAACAGAATTTTACATCCCTACTTTTAATTGCATTTGAGAAACTAAATATATTCTTTCATCAGCAGCATCCTGTCTGGTATTTTGGAGAATGTTTTCTGGCCCCTTCTTTTTAGTTTTAGGTCCCATCTTCCTCAGCTTCCGGTTTATCAGGCAGAATAGAAGGTCAATAGTACTGAATTAATAGGGGGGTTAACACTATATTCCTAATCGTTGTCACTTGTCTATATGCATTAACCTTACTGCCAGGTTTACATGGGCATAGTTGCTATGCACGAAACTGGTTCTTTGAAACCTATATGAGCAGACAGGGGCTGCGCCAGCTAAGGGGTTAACCGGTTAACGGAATAAATAGGATTTTACATCCCTAGTTACAACACTAGTCCTTACAAAGCTCTTCTTTAGCTTTAAATCATATTTATTATTATAAGTCTGACTATCCTTGTTCATACAAGATCAAATCCTCTTTTTGAATCCCGCTAACCTCATTCCCTAGATGGGCTACAATGTCAACACAAGTACAAGGCAATGAGGAATCAAAGCCCAGAGTCATAATTCACATTACACGGGGCAAATCCTTCCCACATCTACGGAGGCTTCATTATCATGCAACTGGTGGGATTCTGATAGCCAAGGGGTTGAGCCAGAATGAGGGCTGTGAAGGGGATGGTATGGGCAGAGCCAATGATGGGCATGTACTTTGCTATCAGAAAGATCATCCAGTCCTCCATACTGATGCCTGATGGGCAAGGATTCCTTCCACTGTGCCTCTGCCCAGTGCCCAGCCCAGCTCCTCCAGCTGGACTCTGGCATGAGGATTTGGCCAAATAAAGAGGGCAGCTCATTTTCATTTTCTGAGATTCAGTTCTGATGCTATATCCAATCTGCCTGAAGCTCACAATGAAAATGTCCAGGTGCCAATGCTACACCTGCTACTGTGATATGTTTTCAGCTATTCCGTCAGAAAGCAAAAGGCAACCATCATGCATGCTAATTTCCTCTATTCAGGTAAGATCACACAGCCAAACACCATCCATGTCTTGCAATGAAATGGAACTTTAATACGACCATGTCAGAAGTAAAAATAAAATGTGTATGGTCACTTTTAGCTAAAAGGCCTTTACACATTCAACCCCCTCCCCCCCCATAATTGCATTTGAGAAACTAAATATATTCTTTCATCAGCAGCATCCTGTCTGGTATTTTGGAGAATGTTTTCTGGCCCCTTCTTTTTAGTTTTAGGTCCCATCTTCCTCAGCTTCCGGTTTATCAGGCAGAATAGAAGGTCAATAGTACTGAATTAATAGGGGGGTTAACACTATATTCCTAATCGTTGTCACTTGTCTATATGCATTAACCTTACTGCCAGGTTTACATGGGCATAGTTGCTATGCACGAAACTGGTTCTTTGAAACCTATATGAGCAGAAAGTAGAATATATACATAGGGCATTGGGCAATATTAGAGTCATAGTATTTTTAAAATAATGATTTTCATGATTTCAGCTATTTAAATCTGAAATTTTATAATGTAATGTAAGGGTCCTGACCCAAAAAGGAGGGGGTGGGGGGGTCACAAGGATATTGTATTACAGTATTGCTGTCCTTACTTCTACACTGATGCTGGTAGTGGTACTGGTTTCAGAGCTGGGCACCTAGAGAACAGTGGCAGCGGGGTGAAAGCTCAACTCTAAAGGCAGAGCCACCACCAGGAGTAGTGCAGAATTACTTGCGTATGGCATGGTATGGAATAGGGGTGCAAGCGAGTGGTCAAGTACCTGACTACCTGATAAGGCTAAGCCTATCAGACAGTCGAGTTGAGTACTCGATTACTCACTTCTCTCCCCCCTTGCTGCCTCTGTATCAGGGGGCAGCAAGGAGGGGGGAAACAAGAGCCGGTACTGGGGGGAGCTGGCTTAAAAGCCATCTCTGCAGTTCTGTCTCCACTCCTCCCCTGCTGCTGCCTCTATCAGGGAGCTGCCCACCTCCTTCCCCCCCAGAACAGCCTCTGTCAGCAGCCAGCACGGGCCACCACAAATAGGGGCTGCTGGACTTGTGCTACATTTGAAATGCAGAGCCACAGCAGTCCTGAACCCAGCATGAGCCAGGACTCCTCAGTTGGCTCTTACTACATTTAAAATGCAGAGTCGCAGTGGTCCCAGACCCAGTGCAAGGCAGGACTCCTTAGTCCTGGCTTACACCAGGTCCATGACCTACCCCTGCTGCAGCTCTACAGCAGTGGTCCCCAACCTTTCAACTGGATTAATAAACGGGATACTATTCTTCTGAGAGGATGTGTGACAGATTAGCACATTTTATTATTAAATTAATACAAGATTAGTGCATTTAATTGATCTAAATTGTTCTTGTCCCAGCCGAGGTTGGCATCTTAACCCAGCTTTATGCATGAATGTCACATTTCATTAGTTATTTTAGTTTGCTTGCTGCAATGTTTGCAGATAATCAGGTGCACCAGAATAGCAGACAAGCTAAAGCGACGGGATGCATCTCTTAACCTTTTCCATTGCTTTTCCAATTTAACTCTACTGTCATGACTGCCAGTGAGAGCCCAGCCTGTCAATCACACTGAAGAGCTCTATTTCTAAACCCGAGACGATACTCTGAAAGCTATTTATATTTCCGACTTGTTTTTATATAACTCACTCTCAAATATATTTTGGTTCCAAATGCAATACAAGCCCTGCATGCACAACACACTAGAACGATAACGTGCATGAAGAATTCATCTAAATAAGGACAAAAGGGAATCTGTAAGTCTTCAGCAAAAGCAGGCTGGCATTTGAGCGGTTGGCTTATATTCCTGACTCACCCACTGGCTGGCTCTGTGACCCTGGATGTGTTGCTTGCTCTCTGATTATTTTCTGCCATAACCAAAGATGTGGGTAGGTACCTTACAGGACATGGAGAAAGACCCAGACCTAGTGATTTAGCTTGCTAAGCCTGAAACCAAATGTACAGGCCTGAAGCCAGTGAGTCCTCACATATTCTGGGGTCTGTGCTAACAGAACTGGTTGCAAGATTAGGATCTAAATTAAGATACAACATACTCCAGGCAGGAGGAATTACAAATTAAGGGACTGAAAGTCTTCACAGATGAGAACAGGGTTACATCCAGGGATAATTTAGTAGTGTTCATTTGTCTTCATTTCTTCATTTTCTAATCTGTGACATGGGAAAAATAATACCGATCTTTCCATGTTATTTAGGCTGTGTCCAGACTCAGGGTTTTTTTTTTTAAAAGTAGCTTTTTTTCGAAAAAACTTCACCTGCGTCTAGACTGCAGCTGCGTTCTTTCGAAATTAAATCGAAAGAACGCGGCTTTTCTTTCAACGGCGGTAAAACTAATTTCACGAGGAAGAACGCCTTTTTTCGAAAGTGTTCTTTCGAAAAAAGGCGTTCTTGAATGCAAACAGAGGTTTTTCGAAAGAGAGCATCCAGACTGCCTGGGAGCTCTCTTTCGAAAAAGCGGCTTGCTTTTTTGAAAGTTCCGCTTGCAGTCTAGACGCTCTTTTTCAAAAGAGGCTTGCAGTCTAGACATAGCCTTAGAGAACTATGAGGAGAAGGCAGCTCATAAATGCAAAGTTTTCTTATTGTTTCTTAATTTCTTACTACATCATTAAGGATTGCATAATTTTTGGTGGGGCCCATACCAGGTCCAAGGCACACCTCCCCATACCTGCCCAAGTCTCTGGGAGGAAGTCTGGATGCAGGAATAGATTTGGGGTGCAGCCCCTGGGCTGGGGCAGGGGGTTGAAGTGGGGGGGGCAGAGAGCTGGGGCAGGGATGAGGAGATTGGGGTACAGCAGGCAGGTTGCTTATGGGCTTGAGTGGGAGCCAGAAAGGATTTCCCCAACCCTCTCCCCACAAGCAGCAGCGAGCTCAGGAAAGAGGCCCCTTCTTCTCCCTCTCCTGCCTCACACAACACTCCCCTAATCCCTCCCAGGTTGCTGGGAGTCGCCTGCTGGGAGAGGGGGTGCTGCTATGTGCCTCATTCCTCCACTGTAACACATCAGCTGCCTCAATCTGCCCCTGGTGCTGCTTATTTGTAGCCAGCTGCAGCAGTGGCCGGCAAGGGAGTGCAGCATGGAGCTGCAGGGACAGGCAGGTGGAACCAAGGAAGAGACCCAACCCCAACACTGGAATATTTCTGGAGCCTGAGCAACATGGGCCCATAACAAGTTACTACCCCTGCTACCTCAGGGTATGTCTACACTACAGCACTAATTCGAACAAACTTAATTTGAATTAGTTAATTCAAACTAAGCTAATTCGAACTAGTGCATCTAGACCTAAAAACTAGTTCGAATTGCTAATTCGAACTAGCATGTCCACACAGAGTGGACCCTGAACCGAGGTTAAGGATGGCCGGAAGCAGTGCCGGCAGGGCATCCGGTTAGGACTTAGAGCGTGGAGCTGCTGTCTCAGGCTAGCCAAGGTCTGTGCTTAAAGGGACCCGACTCCCCATCTCGGACAGACAGTTCTCAGGTTTCTCTGCTTGCTGGTCCACCTCGCTGAGGGACAGCAAAGCATTTGTGTCTCATGAGTCTGGACACAGCCTTGGTGTGTGGAGTAAGCATCAATCTATTCTAATCCTCTCTCTACACTGACGCTCCTCTGTAGAGAACATATAGGAGCAGCCACTGAAGAGTGAGACTACTATTCCCGACAGTTTCATTTTCATCGAGCCAGTCTCCTAACTTGGGACTCCTTTATCCAGACATATTGGGAGTAACTGTGGTAACTTTTATTGTCACGTCCAAAATAAACGTAAGAGAAGTTATGTTACCTTGCATTGTCCCTCCCATGCGACTTCAAGAAGTTCATATCGCGATACCTTGACAAGAATGCTACTAGCTGGTCATTTGTCCTGTGAGAGAGAAAACAGAAAATGTGCACATCAGATACAGAAATCTGTCTTTTGTAGAGTTATCTGTGTGTGCTGTTTCTTATTTTGACACCCGTGGGACTCTGCAGGACACAGGGATAAAATACTATGACAGGAACATTATTTCTCATGCAGACTTTTCCCTCTGTAAACCACTATGCTGCTGAAAGTGTTTTGTTGGTTATTCTGAACGTCACAGACTGATTCTACTGCATAGGAAAAAGGCATGCTTATTCTCTCCCAGTGACTCCTATTTCCAATGTGCTCTGTTCATGATAACAAAATGCTTTTTTAAAAAATGGCCAGTTTCGAAAATTTAAAGTGGGATCTGAGAGTCAACTTAGCAAACCATTTTGCTGATGCTACATAAAGAGGAACAGAACTGGGCTCACACTCACAGCAATTTTGCCTCAGTGATGCTCACAGGAGTAATAGGTAAAAATGATGTTTATGGCTGAAGTTAATAGACCAGACTCTGCACAAACACAATCCATTAAGTTCTGTAAAAGGGCATCTGGGTCTAATTTTCTTTGGTGATACTAAGCCCCCAGCCCTTCCCCTTTCATCCCTTCTGATAAGCTTCCCCCTGCCTCTTCCCATCCCCACAACACCTATGGCCTCTCCCTACCTCTCCCTGCTCCGTCCCCTGAGCGTGCCCTGTCTCATTCCCCTCCCTCCTAGTGCTTTCTGCGTGCACCGAACGTTCTGCAATGTTCAGGGTGATGGGTGGGGCCAGCTGGGGAGAAAGCGGAGGGGAGCTTGGCTAAATACCCACCCATTTTTCTCTGTGGGTGTGACAAAGCGGGGACTGTATTTGTCTTATGTTACATGTGAGTTCTATTGTCCTATAGTAACCTCACGTGTGTGCTTCAGTTTCTCTGTGCATTGCACCAATACCTAGATGGGGATGGGAATTTCGGTGCAACAGCTTCCCTCGTGTACACAATAGCTGAAGCCTTCTGTAACCTGAGCCTGGGGGGTGGGGAGGGTGAGACCAGGTGACACCATTTGCCCAGGAAGATGGACAAAGGTGGGAGGCGGTGCTGGTTGCAGGGGGAAATGGGCTGCTGGGTGTGAGAGTGGTTTTGCTGGCCTGGGTTGCAGGGATGGAGACCCCAAGATGGATTGTACGGGCTGCTTTCGATTACTGTGCAAAGTCTGTTCTATGCTGTGTCCCTGTTCTGCCTGCTGGCTGAGCATCACAGCTGACTGCCAATGGGAGTGCCAGGCCCGGAGATTCCCCACACCTCGGTGACAATGGGTGCTCCTAGAGATGAGTACTTACATATGAACGTAGTGATTTTTCATACCAGAACTGTATCACAAGGCATATTGTGTAACCTGTAGAAGGGCTGGTAACAAACTTGGCACTATGGCTGAGAATGTGTTACGTGATACTGCCGTCCTCAGTTCCCATGTGTTCGATTACTAGGCTGACATGCGTTAGATGCATATTACAGGATTAGTTTCAGCATTTTCCGGGGAATTTAGACAAGCATTTGCTGTAGAATACTTTCTCGTCACCATTTTCAATTATTTTGGTAACAAAACAGAGCACAAAAAAGATTCAGGAAATGGGAAACAGATGGGAGGCAGATTAGCAAACCTATGAGTCCACAGCAACAGGGAGGGACAGAGTTGGGCATGAATGTCCAGCCCTGTCTCTCAATCCAGGTGTGAGGCAAGCCAGCTGATCTCAGCAGGATCCAAGTGTGGATGGGCTTGGGGGAAAGGGAACCCAGTAACAGGGTGAGAGGGTTCTGCATGGGGCAATCTGGGTGTGGATGTCTCAGTAGGAGGGGCCTGCATGAAGAGAGATTTGTTGGGGGGTTCCAGGTACAGGGAGGATGGGATTCTGCGGGGGGAACCAAGTGAAGGTATTTGGAGCTTGGAGGATTGGAGAAGGGGGGGAAGAGGGGAGAGGTCTGCATATGGGGGATAGGCTTTGGGAGGGGTTTGGGTGCAAGAGGGGGTGTCCCAGTGCTGAGGGAGTAGGGTTTGGTGGAGTGGATGTCCAGGTGCAGCTTACTGGGATGGGATTGCAGGAACAGGAGATGGGGGGGCTCAGTGGGGTGGGGATAGGGGGCTCAGCAGGGGGTTGGAGCTTGGCAGAGGAGTTCCGGGTGTGGGGTGGTTCAGAGACACGGAAGTTGGGCAGATGGAGGGCGGGGACAGCTCCCTGTGAAGTGACTCACTGAAGCTTGAAGTAATATGGGCAGGAAAGGGGAAGGAGGGAGGGTTACAGAGCTTCCGGGAGCTGAGGGAGGTTCACAGGGGTGGAACCAACCCAGCCCTGGCCTTTTTTTGCAGGGACAGGGGAATTTCACGCCGCTCAGCTGGGACTAGCAGCTAGAGTCCATTTTTGTAAGAGTAAAGAGTAAAACCTGGAAGGGGGAGGGGGCATTAATTCTGCACTTGTGCAGTAATCACCCAGAAGTAAAATAGTTAAGACTGATATTTTCAAAGCCAAATTTTACAGCTTTTTATATCGGGAACTTTTAAAATTTGACTTAATGTGGCATATAAAAGAGGAATACATAAGCTATTGAATATTTAGGATGCACATTTGAAATTACCTAGAATTTGGATGCCAAATTAAAAAAAAATTAATGGGAGCAAAGGAATTCGAATAAATCCCACTGATTTTACTCGTTATTTGACATTCAAATCCTGAGTGGTTTTCAAATTTTCAGCCTACATATCCATGAATTTATATATTTGAGTTTGCTCTTGTGGTTCATTATTACTTTAACAAAGGTGCAATAACATTTTCTCCGTGAATTATGTGTTTCAATATATTTCGGAAAACTGAGAAAATTATAATGAACAGATCTTCAGTTACTGCTTCACATTCAACAAACACGACATTACAAATAAAAGACAGAAGACCCTTTTGGCAATGGTACGTAATGCAACTGATACTAGACAAGTCAGAGATAAAACAGTTGTTCTGGTACAGCATACCTTGGAAACCATTTTTACAAACTACTTCAACTCAAGTTAAACAAGTTACCTTTATAAAATGCTTTAAAATTACGCAGTCCGTAATAACAACTTGGGGACTTTACTGAACTACTAAATCATCCACGGACCTTATATTTACAAACTCTCTCGTCATCATAGGTAACAGTTCATTATTGAATGGATAAATAATACCAGGTTAACCACTGATTAAGTCTAGACCAATTGGAATATCTGTCTATCAAACATCCTAAATGGCTAGACTGTAGGAGTATGAGACCCTCCTTCCATGTTCACTCATGTGAGCTTTAATGCCTCCCAGGGTCAGACTCTGTGTCTCAATTTGGCATCCTCAGAAAACTGCTTTCTGTATAGTAAGCTGTGCAGATTTTCACATTTGCTGCTTCAGTGATTCTCCATCTTACTGGGATGAATAGGCATTTAGTGAATTTACTTAGCAATGCTTCCACATGAAATCGTTTCAATGACTGACATCTTAGGGTGAGTTTCTAGGCAAACTCTGGCATGCAAAGATGATCTACAAAAGTATTACAAAGTTTACAGGTGCCTGGACATTGATTTTATTTTATCCTCCAAGCAAATTAAACAAATTAACAGTCCACACTGGTCAATACTCCTGTATTGTTTCCTCAATATAAACTGCCCTCCAATCTCTGTTTCACTTTTCAGTTGTGCTTTACAAAACATAACTGAAACCAGGCCTGCCACACAAAGTTTTCTGCTGTTGTTGCTTTTAGATTACTGTTTGTAATTCCCTGTATACATTTTAGTTTTCACAATAATGAACAGCCTCAGCTCTGTTGACATTTTCTCCATCTCTTGAATAAGTCAATGGCATTTTGATTCTATTTCTGATCACTTTTTTTTAAAGAATTAACCTACCCATTTTGTTTGTTTTTTAAAATAAATATCACTCTTCTCAAGTTTTGACATCCCACTTTCATCTGCAAAATATTCTAGATATTTGACATTTAGATCTATGTGCTCAACCAATTCAAGCTTACGCTTGCCTTAGCAGCGTAAATATTACAGAATTCTTCACTTCCTTTTCTGTGAGCACTACCTTGGAGTCAGAACTTGCAAGGGCGCTGAACACCATCTCTTCATTCCATACTTCAACAGAGGTTGAAAGGGCTCAACATCTCATCAGTTCCTATATTTTTTAAGTGTTATGGCTAACTGGAGTAGCTAAAGTCCTATGCAGCACACAGAGGAATGTGCCTTTAGTGGTATATTTTCAAATGCCTCCGGCAGTGATCACTACAGCATTGCCTAGTGCACTTTAGCAGTAATGCCGCCAGCACCGTGTGATGCTGCTAGCATTCACTCTTTTCAAT